CTTCCATATCATCATCACTATTATCACCAAATATTTCATCTATTTCGTCTTCTATTTGGCTATTTAATTGTGGTAGTCCGGTATTTCTTCTTTCGGCATTGACCCAATCTCGAAACAACACCGATATTTCCAAACTATCCTTTGCTAATGAATATCGATGATCTCCAATCATAAATCTCGCCGCACTAAAGGCTTGCTCTGAAGCGACCGATGATGCTTGAATCGCTAGCACATCTCGAACAATCCTAGCAAGGGTCGGAAATTGATTTTCACGATTCTTCCACCATACTAATATTGGAGCTTGAAGTTGTCCTTCTTCATGCCTAATCTTTTCCCGTGCCTGATTGAAATATAAATCAAAATCATTATTAGTAGATGATTCAAGCTCAAGATAATCATCCATCCAATCATCCGTATCATCGCTTCTAGGTTTACAAGATGGAGGTTCAACTATTGGAATATTTTTTTCCATAGATTTATATGTATTATATAACTCTCTAGCTTTTATATATATGCTACTTTTACAATCTTCAACACTAGGAGTTTCATCATCTTTAATTTCTAAATTTGCATAAATCTTTTCAACCATTCTTTCAACACCTTTTAATTTGTAATTTGGGTTGAAAGTAGTAGTAGTCAAATAGATTTGAGGAATAGGGAAAAAATATTTTTTGAATTTTTCAATCATAAAAGCAAGGGAATTTTCAAATCGATCTTTTCCTTTATATTTTGCAAATTCAGATGAAATAGCACAAATATTTACTAAAACAGAAGAAATAGTTGGATAATATTGACCAGAAGCAGCATTTGTTGCTTTATAAAAAACACTTAAAAATTCAATAAGTTCTTTTGTATTTTCCCAATCTTCATAGCCAATTCTCAAATTCGGGTCCGCATTATGAGCATTAAAAACTAATTGTACCGGCTCTTGATAAATATAAGCAACTTGAAGCATTTCAAATAAAGAATTCCATCTAGTGCATACTTCTTTTGGAACTTTTCTATATTCAAGTCCACATTCTTTACAACGATTTTTAAATTCTATAATTCTAGCTTTTATTTTAGCTTTAAAAATCCAATTACAAGCAAGTCTAATTTTTTCACAAGAAATTCCAAATTGAGAAACACCATCCTTTACTATCAAATTATACACATGTGCGGCACACTTAATATGAAAAGAATCATTATCAATTGGACAAAGTCTACATTTTAAATAATCAATTGCTTTCAAATTATTAGAAGCATTATCTAAAGTGACACTCATTATTTTATCACATATTCCATAAAATTGTAAAACAAGGCCTATTTTTGTTGCTATATAAGCACCGGTTTTAGTTTCTTCAACATATTTATATCCTAATATTCGTTTTTGCATGTTCCATTCATGGTCAATCCAATGGACAGTAATTGTAAAATAATCATTACCATTAGGACTACGTCCCATATCAGAAGTAATAGATAATCTACCATCATAATAAGCAAATAAACAACGAAGAAAATGACAATATTCTTTTTGATATTTAAAAAGATCACTTTTAATTGTACTTCTTGGAATACCTTCATAATCTGGGTTATACAATTCCCGAATATACTGAATAAAACCAGGATGTGAAGGAAATGAAAAAGGCAAACCACAAACAGCAACCATTTTAGCTAATTCTCTACGATCTTTTTCTTTACTATATGTGCGGTGTGTGCTTCGGCTAGCCGGGTTAGTCATATTTAATTCACTTTGAACCATATTAGAACCTCCAGCTCCCATAGAATTTTCAGGTTGAGGTATTCCATTTCTATTAGCCCTTTCTATATCATCTAGGCGAGCAAATTCTTTATTACACTTTCTCAAATGTGTTCTTAGTCGTCCCGTTCCCCCTTGTGTACCCGTAGTTACATGTTTCATGATCAATTTACATTTCGTGCAAGTAACAGTAGTTTTTTCCTCATTTTGTACCAAAAATTTCCATACTAAAGATCTTTTAACACGTACAACGGTCTTTGAAAAAGTAGGTAAAGAGGGGACTTCATCTTGTTCCGGTAATTCGGTAGCCGGACTAGTAGGGGTAGGGGTCTCATCATCTTCCTCATTTATTTCTACTTCCTCATCTAATTCTTCCTCAAATTTAGTAAAACATCTATTTAAAGTTACATGATCTACTTCATTTTCGGAATTAAATTCAATAGGTCGTGAGTCTCGTGTAAAAGAAGTTTCATCAACATGAGTATAATCATTAGTATTAATTCTAAATCTAGGAGGTGGCAAATTTTTAGAATTAGAACTACTTCCTCCTCCCCTATTATTTTTTCTTTCCGACATTGGTCTTTTACCACTATATTTTTCAAAATTCATGTTTAAGTTTAAAATAATTAATATTATGAAAACAAGCAAAGATAATATAACAAAAAAATAAAATAACTTAATTAATAAACAAATAAAAAATTAAAGTTGGAACGAATGTACCGAGCGTCTACGTAAAAGTAGACGTATAACCAAAGCCGGAATTGAGAGATGCCAATTGAAGCTTCCGATTTACTTCAAATAAATCTCCGAAATTCGAACTCCAAGTCAATATCACAAAATAATAATTATGAATTTATGAGAGATTGAAAATTAAGAGATTTTATAAGATATTAATGAAATAGTTTGTGAATTTGTGATTTAAATGAAAAATATGAGTATATTTATAGTGTTAAAGGGTAGAGAGGGGTGGGGGACTGTTTGGAGCCGTTTTGGGCCCCAGCCCAACGGCTAAAACGGCTCTTTAACGTTCAATTTTATTTTATTTTTTTAAAATAAAAAAAAATTAAATTGACCGGAACCGGTTCTTACCGAACCGGATCAACCGGATAAAAATACGGGTTCCGTTTCGGTACCGGTTCCGGTACCTATAAGACCGGTTCCTTACCGGTTCAACCGGTACCGGTCTTACCGGTACCGGAACCGGACCGGACCGGACAAAAATCGGTTCGTTTGCCAGCCTTAGTGGTGACTGATGGAGATGATTGCCGATAGTAACTATTGATTGTTACGTAATGGTGGTTAATGATAATGATTATAAATGGTGGCAAGTGAACCGTGATAAATAAACAATAAATGGCGTTTTCTTAATTGATTATAAAAATTGTCTATATCAAAAGAAAGAAAACATTAATAAACTAGAGGAAGGTTCTCGCATGCTAAGCATCTTTCACCTTCAATCCTAAAGTAGCGAGTCCGAGCCATTAAGGGAACAAGGAGATAAGTCGACACAGATCTGTTTTCACGCATCCAACTGGCATTGACTTAGGTATGTAATATTAATCCAAAACATTACAATATGACTACTTACCCTGTTGTAATATTTAACTGCTTCTTATTATTTTATTGATAAATACTAACATGGTGCTGCAAATTAAATTGTGGTATGGTTGTATATCAGTCACCCAACTGCCCATCATTAATATTACACCTACTCTTCTGATTTTACACACTCAACTAACATGGTGTTGGAAATTAATTAAAGTTAAATACACAAGAGTAGTACATTATTTGATATCTTGAGTTACATCTAAAAAATTTTTTTTGTTGTAATTCCTCTCCATATTGACTTGATGGCAGCTTATACTGCTGTAATTTCTCTTCTTCAAACTCTTGATCAACCAAATATTTCAGAACTCTTTCATGATCACAGTACTGAAATGTTCGATTCTCTTCGTGCTACAGCTGAATATTTTCAAGATGTTCTTGAAAACACTAGCAATGAGAAAATCAAATCTTTGGAGGAAGATATTAGAGTTGTTGTTAGTGAGGCAGAGGATGTTGTTGAAATGAAGATTTCTGAAATCATCAAAGAAGAAAGCTGGACATTTGGAATTTTACAACACCATGATATGCTACCAGTTGTTGAAAAAATGGATACCACAAAGAAACAAGTGATGGAGATTCTTTGTCATGATGCTGATCAAATTCTTGAATTAACCGGGGATTCCTTGATTGGCGCTTCTTCTATGAGTGATCCAATGCTGTCAGATCAGTTGGAAGATGATATTGTGCAGGGACTTGATGGTGACTTGGAGATAATAGATAAGAGATTGAGAGGACCAACGTCGGATCTAGACATTGTCACCATATCAGGTATGGGTGGCATTGGCAAAACAACACTCGCTAAAAAAACTTATGATCATCTTCCAATCAGGTATCACTTTGACATTTTTGTTGGGTTACAATATCTCAAGAATTTCAATATAGAAATGTATTGTTAGAAGCTTTACATTGCATTTCAAAGCAAAGAGTTATTGAGAACACAAAAGATTATGATAAGATGAATGACAGTGAGTTAGCTGATCTGGTGCAAAAGAGTCTAAAGGGTCCTAGATACCTTGTTGTTGTTGATGATATTTGGAGTAGGGATGTTTGGGATAGCATATCACAAATATTTCCTAATCGCAACAATGGGAGTCGAGTCTTATTGACTACTAGGGAAACTGATGTAGCAATATATGCAAATACTAGTAGCCCTCATAAGATGAACCTCTTGGATTTAGATAATAGTTGGAAGTTACTCCGTGATAAGGTGTTTGGACTAGAATACGATCATCCTCCTGAGTTGGAAGAAATTGGAAAAAAAATAGCAGAAAAATGTCAAGGACTTCCCTTAATAATTTCAGTGATTGCAGGGCATCTCTCTAAAACGGCCAAGACATTAAAAAGTTGGGAGTATGTTGCCAAAACCTTAAATGAAATCATTGCTAGCCATCCAAATAAATGCTTAGGAGTGCTCGGTTTGAGTTACCATCACTTGCCTAATCGACTCAAACCATGCTTTCTTTCTATGGGTAATTTCCCAGAGGATTTTCAAGTTGATACTTGGAGATTGATCCAATTATGGATCGCAGAAGGTTTCATAAGGGCACCTGCTGGAAGTCGTAAAAGCTTGGAGGAAGTGGCAAAATGTTATTTGGAGGATCTTATCAGCAGGAACTTGATAATGGCTTGAAAAAGGAGATTTAATGGTGAGGTTAAAGTATGCGGAATACATGATCTGCTGCGTGAGTTCTGTTTCATAGAAGCTGAAATGACTAAGTTTATGCATGTTGTGAGAACTCCATTTTCACCAACACAAAAGCCTAATGTTCGTCGTTTCAGTATTCAAAAGGCATTTTTAGATGAGTATGCTTATAAGCTATTACCTCCTGTTGCCAGATCTATGTACTACTTTTCTCTATTGAATCTACCTTTTGAACCCCGTATTAAGCTTCTCGGGATATTGCCCATCTACCGTCATGATCCTATAATACATGGATTTTTCTCTCGTTTCAACCTTCTCAGGGTATTGGCCATCTTCAATACAAATGTCAGGTTCGAGTCATTTCCAGTTGTGATTACAAAGTTATTTCATTTGAGATATCTCCAAATTCGATGTTTTGGCAATATTCCTGAATCAATCTCAGAGCTTCAGAATTTGCAAACTCTAATTTGTGATGGTCATTCTTTAGATATAACTTTACCTGAGAAGATATGGATGATGAAGAATTTGAGGTATATACGTTTAGGGGGAGCCAGTTATTTACCAAGTCCTAGAATAGATAACAAGATGCCAAATCTAGAGGAATTATTCAGTATTTGTTACTCTAGTTGTACAAATGAAGTCTTTTCTAGCATTCCCAATCTAAAGAGATTGACCATTCGTCTACCTTTGAGTGTCGGAGACAATATTCCCTCTCAGCTCATCGATATGTCCAGCTTGAGAAAACTCGAGTCAATCAAGTTTAACTGGTTACTTCCTTTCAAAAACCCCATCAACATATTTGCTTTTACAACATCACTTAGGACGTTGTCTTTAACTGATTGTGCTAATTTTATTTGGAAAGACATATCATCAACTTTTATCATGTTACCAAATCTTGAAGAGCTCAAACTTAAAAGTTGTCGAGCCGAAGATGATGTATGGAGATTGAGTGATAAAGACATTTTCAAAAGCTTGAAGTTGTTGTTACTGAAATACCCAAATCTTAAGTGTTGGGAAGCTAGCAGTGATAACTTCCCAAATCTAAAACGTCTCGTTCTCATGAATTGCAACAACCTGCAAGAAATTCCAACAGATTTTGGGGAAATTTGTACTTTACAATCGATTGAGTTACATAATTGCAGCACTTCTGCTGATGAGTCTGCCATAAATATTGTACAAGAACAAGAGGAAATGGGAAATAATATCCTTAAGGTCTACATCAGCCACGGTAAGTTTTAAATGATAAATAAACCAAGAATAAGATTCCTTATTAGTTTAGGATTTGTTATCCTCTTGACCAACAAGTTTATAAATGTCAGGTACAATGGTGAACTTTCTGGTGGACAATGTATTGCACCTATTAAGTGAAAATGTGTTGTTAATAAAAGCCGGAGATGTCGAATTCAGTAATTTATTGAAAGAAGTGCGATGTCTCAAACAGTTCGTTGACGTTGCATGGAAATACCACAGCGAAAGCAAGCAATGGGATGAATTGGTGAGAGATATTCAACTAACATTATTTAAAGCGGAAGATGCAATTGATGAATTTGTGATTCAATCGAAGCTGAATCGAGAAAAGAATAAAATTGGAAGAGTTTTTGATAAAGTGAGTCATATCAGTAATGTTAGGGCTCTGGTAGCTGAGATCAAAGAGATTCATTATAAGGCGACAAATTTTCGACAAAACAATTAACAAGCTTTTCAGTTTGTGTGTAAATGTTGTAATTATTTTAAGTAAAAAATCGATGATGGATGAAGAAAAATAATTTAGTTATGGACATCTCAATTAGGAGTGTACAAGTCAAATCGAAGAAAAATAAAATCCACTTGTGGATATGTAGATATATTATTTTAAATTTGGGCTTGTCATTCTTTTAAAATATTTTATTTTGTATATAGTTTGATTGCAACCTTTAATCTTATAAATATAACATATAGAAAATATTTTGTATTCATATGAATTTGTAATTCTTTTAGGAAATTCCTAATCATTTAACGTTTTAAGTTCTAGCCTATCACACATGTAAGTAAAAATATATTTGATCTTTTTTTCAATCACTACATAATTATAAGAAAATTGAAAAATCGAAAGAACCGACTAAAATCAAAATTGAAGAAACCGATTTTATATAGATTTGATTTGGTTTATAGATTTAATAAACCGACATAATTGGTTATTTATTTTTTAGTAAAAAATTAAACCGAATCAAACCTATGTACACCCTTAATCTCAATGGTGCCCCTCACATTAGATTTTAGAGAAATATATATAGCAAAAATTTAAATTCATTTGATCAACGTCATTTAAAAATTATCAATATTAATAATATTTATCAGATATTCATTTTAAACTTAATGTGATATTTTTCCATAACACATATATAGCTTATTTAAAATCATTTAACTAACACTACTTTACAAAATGAGGAAACTAAACATATGCCCTATCAAAGTAAATTAACTATATACATTTATATCTTTACATTTATGCCCCTTAACTAATTAAAATAAATATTTCTTTTTCTTGTAGCTTTAGTTATTTAGCTCCTTTTTAATTCTTTTATTTTTTATTTTTCTACTTCTTCTTTTTTCTTATTATGTTTCTTTGTTCATTTAATTTTTTTAAAATTATTTATTCTTTATTTTGTTACACCATAGTTTAATTTATACTCAATGTTTATTTCATATACTTTTTTTCCCTTTTCCTCATTTATTTCTTTAGTTTTTCTCTTCTTTTTTTTTTTTTGTCATGTATTTTTGTTCATTTGTTTTTTATACAAAATAATTTATTCTATATTTTCTTTTTACACTATAATCTTATTCATATTCAATTTTTATTTTATATACCCATTTTCTTCTTTTTATATTTTTATTATTTTCTCATATAGTTTTTTATTCGTTTATTTTCTCTAAAAACAATTTCTGCTTTTATTTTTCTCTTTTTTCCCCTTTTCTCTTTTATTGGTTCCTTATATTTTTTCATTTTTATTGTATTTTCTCTTTATTTTTTAATTTCGTTATTTTATCTTACTTTCCTTTTCTTTTCCCCCCTTTTTTTTTATTATTTCATTATTCTTTATTATTTTTATTATTTATTTTTTGTCAAATCATAATATTTTTTATTTTTTTACCACAATTTAATTTGGTCATTCAATATTCTATATTTTTCTCATTTCATTTAATTTTCTTTTCGTTTTTTTTTTCATTTGTTCTAGTTTGTAATGATACTGTCACAGTATATCTATGTACTTTCATGGTAAATTTTGATGCACGATTCAATACTTTAGTGAGACCTCCATGATATCACCGCAACATAACTAGAAAATTTTACACAAATCTCATAGTAGTAAGAGTTAAGTACATCATATCTCTACTCTTTTCCAAATTATAAAAATTCCTTAAATTTGGTGGAATCCGAATACATCCCAAAACGATCCGATACATCTATATACTATATACTGACATCTAATATGATAAAATAAGTTGTATATTTAGGTAATTTTTCCATATATCTATATACTAACATGGTATCATTGAGATTTGTTTCAGTCTGTAATGATAACACCACAATATATCTATATACTGTAATAGTATCATTAATGTATACTTGAATCCTTCTGTGCCACCTTTATGGTATCATCATATACTAATATGGTCTCATGAAGGATTGTTTCATATAATCAGTAACAATCTTCAGATCATGTATGATATCATCACAATATGTGAATATTCTATTGTGGTAACACTAATATCTCCTTCATTCATTCACAATACTACTCATTCATTAAAGTTTCATACATTCATTCATGTACAACCAACTCATTCCTCAAATGATACCAGCACATTATATATATAATGACATTGTATCATTTACTAATGATTTGGAGTACTTTTAGATTATCCAGTACATGGCCTTAGATATATAGGAGAGTGTGGAGATATTGATTAAGGTAGAAGCTTAGTAGATATATGTAGTGGAGTGTTAAAATTACTTTTTGTGGGCTCATGTTGGTTATTTGTCTATCGTTGTTCTAGTTGTATTCTTATAGTTCTTGCTTTTGATTTCTATCATTATCTATTTATTGCGTCTCAGTTACTGCACTAATTTTGATGTTCTTATTCCGTACTAGCAGGCTTGCCCTGCTTATATTGTTAGCTATTATGTTTTCTTCTTCTTTATATATATTTGGATTTCTAGCACTTGAGTTGAGGCCTTTTGAAAACAATCGTTCTACACTCTACCCTCTCTTGGCAAACAAATTAACAATGATTTACCAGACTTAAACAGAAATTTAAGTGTTGAGAAAAACACCACTTTTTTCAGTTATGAATTGTCATCTTACTAAGATGAAACAATTCCACCTACCTCTATTTCCCTCTCTCCATTTATCTTAAATCCAAATAATGTAACTAAAAACATACTATAAAGAGATAAAGAGATGAAAATAAAGTTAATTGTCTAATTAAAAAAACTATTTACATCATAAGATCATATTGTAGTTGTATCTAGGCCTTGTTCTCTCTGGTGATAAACCTTGTTGATCCATAGACTTCCTCTTATAATTATTATTATTATTATTGCCTTGAGATTGTTGTAAAATTTGTTCTGTTTTTGGTTCAATTTCTTGTGATTCTTGATTTTCCTTTGTGACAATTTTCTGAGGTTTATGAAAGCTTTTGCATTTGGTTTTCATCATATGGGGTTTAAGCTTATTGACATCAGCTAGTCTTACTGGTTTCAAGATAAAATCTTCTGCCCCTTCTTCTAAGCATCTGATGAATCAATAAGAAAATTAGTACTTTTTATTGTTTATCCAATAATCTTCAAGAAAAGATGAAAAAAATTGCTGTTTGTTCTTACCTACTTATTCTTGAAGGAACATTCACAGATGACATTATGACTACTGGAATATTTTTCAAAGATGGAGATTCCTGTCACACACACAAAAAGAAAATGTAACACTTACCAATTAGATAATATAGAAGTATTGAAAACAGTTTGAACTTGACGTGAATTATTAGTTTCATCCTCATACTACTGATAATCTTAAAAATACTTCTCTACTTGACTAATTCAACTTAAATACCTCTGATCTGTCAGATGGCATAACAAATAGTCTCAAACTCTTGTAGAAGTGTGGGACTCTTAATAAAAAATCGAGAGAAGTGTTGAAAACATCTCTAAACTTGGCGAGAATTTAGGGGTGTATTTCACTCATGTGACAAAATCATGGATGTATTTAAGTTCCGTTAACCAAATAAATGAGTGTTTTTAAGACTATCAATAATTCGGGAACAAAACTAATAATACACACTAAGAGCCTGTTTGGATTGACTTAAACAAGTAGTTTTTAAGTCAAAAATAAAAAAGTCATACTGAAATGTCTTTTTAAGTCAAAAAATTAAAAGTAGGGAGACCTGCTTTTGATTTTTGACTTGATTTAAGTCATTTAAACTTATTTTTAGTCATTTTTCATTTCTTTAACTTATTTTAAGTTATTTTTGATTTATTTTAAGTTATTTTTATATTTGTCAAACACTTTCAAAAGTAAAAAACTAACTTAAAAATAGGTTTGACCAACTTTTAAACCAATCCAAACACCATCTAAATTTAGAGGTGTTATTAATACTTCTCTCGTTAGATAAATTGATGGGCCAAAGAAATAGTTGGTTAAAAAAAGATCAAATAAAGGGAAGACAAACAACCATAGGCTGAACATGATGTCAAAATTGAAAGGTGAGAATTTTAAGGCATAAATTCACCCTTGAAAGTCAGTTCCCCGCTTAAACTATTATGACGATCTATTACACATCTTTACTACTAAAAATTAAAAAAGAAAAACGTGCTTGGTAGTAAATAAAGTAAAACAAAATACTCTTTCTGCTACCACCCTACCCCCACCCTCCACTCCCACCCCACGCCTCTTCTTCTTCTCCACCAGGCAAACTTCTTTATTTTTTTTCATCATTTTTTCATACTCAATTTACATCCACCCCACTATACCTCCACCAGAATCCTCTCCCCTCACCCCTCATCATATCCTATTTTAATGCTTATTCAATTTCACCATTTTCATTATATTTGATTTTTCTATTTGGCTTTGTTGGTGGTTGATAAAATTGATGATTAAGTTTTAAAAATAAAATACAATCATGGATTTATTGGTGAGGGGTGGCAAAGAAGCGGGAATTGAAGGTGGTGGAGAAGAAAAATCGATATTGACAATGGTGGTAATGATATTTGGTGGTGGGTTTGTACCTTTTGATGGTGATAATGTAATTTTGGTGATGAGTTTATTTATGGGTGTCAAATTTTGTGGTGGATCTTTATAATTTTTGTGGGGATAATAGTGATAGTATGACTTCGATGGTGGATTTGATCGTAGGTTGTGAAATTTGTGGTGACTGTTTTGATTTTCATGGTGAAATATATAGATTTGGTAGTAATTGACGACAATGATAGTGATTTCATGGTGGTGTTCATTGAAGAAGAAACTATTGAATGACTTGGAGAATTTTAGTCAAATTTGACATGGCATTTGATGTGACAATGACATGACATTGATGTGGTGCAAGTGTGATACACCTCCCATTGTGAGAATGGTGCTACATGTCTCATGGGTAAAATTCAGTATTTAGTAGCATATGTCTGTAATAGATAATCATATCAATTTAAATGGATAATTGATTTTTCGGGACAAATTCGAAGATAAGTTTTTGCCTTTTCCCGATAAAAGAACATTAAGAAAAATGAAAAACCTCTTGTTGCGAGGAAAAAGACAACATGTAGTATTTGCATAATGTCACAAACAATTTGATGTTCTATACTATTTTCCAAGAAAGAAACTATATAATGTAGAATGAAGAAATTATACGCTCCCGATTCTTATTTACATGTCGTCTTTATTAAAAATAAATATTTCATATTAATTGTCATTTCACAAAATCAATGTATAAATAACACTATTCTTCCTATTTTACCCTTGAAGTATTCATTTGATCAACATAGAAAAACTAAGTAATTAATTCTTGTTCATTGATCAAATTAATTAATCAAAATAAATTAATTCATATTCACTACTTGAAAACTTAATTTTGAGAGAACATTAAATAAGAATACAATAGTAAACTTACCTAATTTCTTAAGGAACATAAAATTTAAAACAGTGATAATTAAATAGGAATATAAGGAATACTTACTAAAGTAGGTAAAAAAGAATACCTTAATTTTCTTGAGCAAATCATAGCCTGTCATTCCAGGCATACAATAATCTGTGATAATAAGATTTACTTCCACTTGCTGCAAATTCTAGACAAGAAGAAAAAGATTAATCTTTCATGGAAAACAATTGGAATCCAAGAAAAAACAAAGAAGATAAAACTTTAACATGATTCCAAAAATGAAAATTTTCTTAAAAAAATAAAATAGACTCAAATAAGTCATCAAATTTTGAGAAAAATATCATTTATGTCATCCGTTAAAAATGTAGTTCATCAATGCCATTTCTATTATTTTTCTCGAACAAAAATAGCATAGATGAGTCAAACTTTTAAGTTTTAACATATAACATAAATGAGTCTTTTCTCGATGTCAGATAACATATTTGAGCCTTTTCCATAAAAAAAAAAAACACAAACAAACCAATACAAGATAGTCATGGAAATTAAATGAATTACCTGTTTGGCATTAGGAGAAACACAAGGGGGATTGGGATTTTGGTTATGTTCTTGTAACCCCAAAAATTCTAAAGCTTTGCTTCCAGAATCCACACTAGTAACTATCACAATTCACAAATAAAAAAGATAGTAAAAAAAAAATGTTATCTTTAAAGAGTCTCTCATCTATTGAAAAATTGATTACCTTGACAAGAAGAGATTTTAAAGAGCCTCTCAATGAGCTTCCTATCTATTAAGCTATCATCAACAGCCAAAACATGAAATTCTGACATTCCCATTGAGTAAGTTTTTTTTTTAGAAGAATAAAGATTGAATTTTTAACTTAATTTGTTAGTGGTTGGCGTTGCTTCTTTTTTGGAAATGAAATAACAAGATTTGAAAAAAAAGAAAAGATTATACAAATTTAAGAAATGGGGATTGGCTACTTATATAATAAAGGATTTGAAGATGATTCTTGAAAGCTAATTTCATTTATTAAAAAGTAATTTATAGAAGGAGAAATGTATTTTACCTACACATACATAACTTACATATTTATGTGTATTTGAAAGTAGGAAAAACTACCATTGAGATTTGGCAAGAAAAGTGAAGGTTCCTTGATGTTTGTTTGTTTAGTTTTTTTTTTGTGTGTGGGAGGAAGAGGGGGGGGGGGGTCCGGCAAAATCCTCAAAAGAAATAAAGAAAAACATAAAATCATCATTGAAGTTGTTTCAAATTTTTAAAAATATACCTTAATTTTGTAGGGATCTATTACCCACAAAAATGTGGAATAATAAAACACCCACAAAAATAAAATATCTTTTTAAAAATTCAAGATAACTTTCGTCTTTTCTCAAAGTGATACAAGTGATGCAAGCATTGATGCCTTGATTCATGGTGTGAAATCATGTGCACTTACCATATCTTTGTGCATAAAAAAGGGGGCATTTTTTCTAAAGATTTGCTTCCCATGGCCTTTCTATGTCTACCTCATCTACGCATGCCAATTGTGACAAATTTCATGTGAATTTAAGATTAAAATTTCATGTAATTTTATACTTATCGACGAATATATAATTCATTTTAGTTATTGAAATTATAATTATATATTTAATACTCATGCTTCCTTCAGTAAGCTAATTGAAGGTAAAAGACATTTATAGTATACATAACAATTCCCTGCCTCCTCTTCCTCTTCCTCTCCCTCCCCCTCACCTCTATCGTATTCAACTGGGGAAACACCATTACGATTTCCTTCTCCATTTTCTTTAAATTTGTTGGATATTGTGATCATATTTACTGGAAAAAATAGAGACTCATACAATGACTACTCTGTTTCTTCTTCCATTTTTTTTCTTATTGAAAAATATATCTAACAAATCAGATTTAAAATAAAAAAACGAATCACCTCTCCTTCCTCCTTTCTCTGTGTATTGCTTAGATGATTATGTAGTCAATGATTTCATTGGTATCTAAAAAATTATAGGTGGTTCATGTATTGATTAATTTTTATATATATGTAATTTGCTATTTTCAACTTTTAGAAAAATTAGATCTGAAAAATAAAATCGTTGAATTAAAAGGGTTGGAAGGTGACGACGACAATGGTGACCGGACGGAATGGCATTTTGAAATCAAGAATTTCCATCGATAAGTTAAGTCATTTGAATTGTGAATCTTTCTCTACTGGTCATCAATAAGTTAAATCATTTGATTGCTCAGAGATAAGTTGATGTCTCCACTCCATAGACATGAGATGAATAAGTTGTTCATCATTAGTTTTGTAGTTGCTTCCACTGCAACTTCCTTTTTCCTTTATTTCTTCTTTTTTTTTTCCTCAAAAGGCCACATGTGCGTCACTGATTTGTCAATTTGCCAGGTCAGCGCAAGTATATTACACACATTTATATCTTTTAGCTGATTGTCAAAAAAGTGTTCAAAAGGTTCAAATTCGAATAAGTAGAGGTGTTCAATAGGTACTAGTCCTAGTTAAAGTGTCTAAGTGAATTATGCGGACAACTTTAAGGGGCTACGTATGACTTCCTAGCAATTCTAATATCTTTATTAATAGATTTTAATGATATTTCTAATATAAAAATATGATTTAAGCAAAAGATAATAAATTTCGCTGAACATATACTCAATATTACAGTTGCCCTGACTCGATTATTCATGTTCTCTCTATATATATTAACCTACTTGCTCCCCATTTTTAATGATATATTTCTATACAAATGTTCTCAATCTTTAAGAACATAAGTTCTTAAAAAGTTCTTTTTTTAAATTTTATTCCCAATCAAATTATGCTTTGTCTTTTATTTTCAAATTGTATTTGTCTATCTTCTTTATAATCTATGATCAAAATTTTATTATACTGTACAACGTTATAAAGGAGACAAGACATGTGTTTTTCTTTGTTTGGGAGTGTAAGTCAATTGTTTTTAGAAAAAAGAGGTGAGAAATTGTGAAATTACCATAAAAGTGGAAGGTGCATGTGATCATAGAATCTTTCAGCAAAACTTAAATTGCATACTACTTGTCGAACAATAATTGTCTAATATTGACTTGACACAGCTTTTAAAAAATAATAAATAACAGGGATAATATTACTATATTATCTTTTGATTTTATTAAATTTAATATTTTGAAAAATGTGTTAGATGAAAAATAATATTTAATAGCAAGGATAAACTAGACACAAAATCTAAATTATCTCTTGATTTTCAAAATTGGACAAGTATTGTTGGACAACTATTTTTAGTATAGTGGATCACTATTGTTGAACGGAGGGAGTATTAATTAGTACTATAGTAAGATGCATGTTTGATTAAATTAAATTTGATAAGTATATTTATAGCAAGTGTGATTTTCAAAAAATAAAATAAAATTAGAGAAAAATAATTTGTGTTTGACTAATCAATTTGAATTTTATTTGGTCAATATTGGAGTAGCATGTAATTTGTAGTTGACCAAACATTTTAAAAAAATGTTTCTACTTTTCAAAAATATTTATTTTCTCCTCTAAAAGCTTGATCAAACATAATGAATACTTTTTCCAAAAAAGCACTTCTTAACTTGCTAAAAACTTGACCAAAGAAGCAATTAAATTGCATTATTATTTGTTTTAAATATAGAGAAAAAAATCATCTTTCTAAAAATGATGAAAAGTAGGTAGGCAATTATATATGAGGCCTCTTATATGGATGTGTGAATGTATAGCTCTATATTCACATAATCACATTGTTGTCCAACTTTGTAGTAATTAGATATAGAGTATAATTAAAGAGAAGACAAACATATACCAAATTGGGACCCTTGAAGATTCTATCTAATTAGCAAGTCAACCGCCAACTCAAAAAAAATCATACATCAATATATCAAAAATATCTTTTAACGATAATTAATTAACGATAATAGCTTAATTGTCATTAAAAATATATTTTTAATGATATTTAGTACTCTTTATAAATGTCCCTAAAACCTATAGCGACATTGAATCCAATGACAATTAACTAATGCTGGTAAAAGTTATTTTTATTGTAGTGCATAAAGTTATGTACCATATATATTTGACCCTTGCCTCTTAATTAATTATTCCTCGTTCCTTTTCATAATTTTCTTTTGATCAATTAAGAGAAATTTGTATATATATTAGTGGATTTCCCAAGTAATATTTTTTATTATATATATATATATATAATTTTGTACAGAAGTTAATGAGTTGCCGAAAACCCTCTCCAATACCTAAATATGTCCCTGCTTGTGAGTTGTGACCAGCTTTCGATATTGATAGTTGATGCATATATTAAATTAAACTAAGCCTCAATTTATTTACTTTTATATATATATATTGCGTAATGAAATAAATTATTTAGTTGTTTCGATTTGATCTATCTTGAGAGAATATATTTTTATTTACCTTGGATACTTGAGGAGAATAATTTCCTTAAGAAAACACTATGCATTTAATGAACTCAATTTTCTTCTTTCAAAAAGTATTTGCAGATTCTTTTCTGTATACTAGTTTGTAGTTTTTCTGATTTTGAAAATTATAAACTTTATTGTTTCTTACAAAAAGATTTCAAAGTTTTCGTTCTTAGTATTTTAGTACTACCTTCGTCCACTTTTATTTGTCATTTTGCGTTTTTTGAAAGTCAATTTGACTAATTTTCAAAGGTAAATTAAATTACATTAATTCGATATTTTAAACAAAAAAAATTAGATATTCAAAAACTATACGAAAAGTACTATAAATTACAATTTTTTGCATATCAATATGATGAAAAAATACATGTTAAAATGTTAGTCAAAGTTCTTATCGTTTGACTCTATAAAAAGAAACCATGACAATTAAAAGTGGACAAATGAGATAACAGAGTTAATGTCATGTAATTTGTCAATAAAATTATGTGGATGATTAGTTTATCCACTAAAACTGACATTATATCAAGAATAAATAAGATTACTTCAAGAGGTTAATAGAATTAATTAATTCAAGGCAAACACAAATTAAAGGAGAATTGGACAAGGAGAGAAACAAAAAAGCGTGTTGTATATGAATTTCCATAAATATAGAAATATTTCCACACTACAACAAAAACAATTTTTAGCGGCAATATATATATACACATTAACAAAGAGTGATAAAGTCTTTACTAGCATTATTTAATTGTCATTGGATCCAGTGTCGCTATAGGCTTTATGGACATTTACAAAGAGTGCTAAATGTCGCTAAAAATACATTTTTAATGACAATTAAGCTATTGCTATTAATTAATTGTCGCTAAATATCATTTTTAATGTAGTGCCAACGGATTATTGTGTCTACCTATTGAGGAACCTTGCATGTTTTTTCATATTGTTCATTATCACTTTTGGCCCTACATTTCCTAATTATTATTCCCCATGTTTTATGGATCCATAACAGTATCATCCATTTTCTCATCCTTTTACCAATTAAAGTAAAATCACTATTATATATATAGTCTAATCAACTTTAAGCACGACAAATTAAGCAAATCAAGTTCTAATAGAATGGCCTAGCATGTCCACCTGTCACACCCCAAGTCTCGAGAGGTAGACCGATACTCAGTGCCTTAACTTTGATACTATTACGTGACCAAGCCTACCACTTTATCTGGACATATATACAAGGGACATATACAATCCAACCATCAACTAGCATGAGAAACCATTTTTTTCCCTCTATACATATGGAAGTCATTAATACAAATGTTATCTTTGTTAACACAGTCTATGAAACCTCTAACATATCATTAAGGCTTAAGAAAGTAAAATAAGATAACTTTCCGCGTATTAGCATTAGAGTTAAATATTTATACATTAACATTACGTAGTTGACCTACAATAACAAATAGTATTTGTTAACACGTTAGATATTACCTCCTCCACCCTCCCCCCAAAAAATAGTCATTAATTATTGGGTCAAATGCATTATTCCCTCGGTCCCTAATTACTTGTCCATTTTTGAATTGACACACATATTAAGAAAATAATTATTAACACAGTGAATTTACCATTTTACCCCTATTAATTATGAAGTTGATGAATTAAAAATTTAAGATT